CTCTTTACGAGTAGAGGCAAAGAGAGCTTCAGCTGACCGGCTAGTATGTGGTTCTAGCACGCTATCACCATTGATTACTACACCTGTTGCATGGGAGTATTCCTCAGAGGGCGTTTGTTTGTTGGATCTTTTTGGTGGGATTAGCACAGGTTTGGCTGCAGTGTTGCAGGCAGGTATTCTCGTACGGAGATACTTGTATGTGGAGAAGGACGAGACTCTTCACAACATGTTGCACACTTGATGCAGCGTTTTCCTTCGTTATTGCCGCGATCAGCTATTCGAGGATACCAGAAGGCGTTGCCTTTAGACATTTCGTTGCTGGGGGCGCAGGACCTTGACCGCGTTGGTCATATTCATATGGTGATTGCGGGCTGGCCATGTGAGGGACCCACACGCGTTGGACATGAGACATGGTTGCATGATCCCAGATCTCAGATATTTTGGGAGATGATGCGAGTGTTACATCATCTTCAGGTGCAGCAGACACGTTCTCTAGCATACATCATGAAGAACGTACCATTGTTCATTGACACTCAGGCTCAGTTGATGGCGAGTGTCCACCAGGTCCGAGCATGGATTGGATCAGCAGTACTGTTGGATGATGCGAGGGTTGGATCACGTGCTCATCGTGCACGTTTATGGTGGATTAACTTATTGCCATGAGAGATATTGCGTCATGCATATGATTCTGTGCAGCGTCATCCTACACTCACCGTTGACAGTATCTTATATGTTTTCCGACACTCTCAGGTAGTGAGAGTTGCTGACAGTTCACCTATGGCGTTGGTGAACGGCATAGGTCAGCCTCGGACGGCTTTACCCACGTTGGTTAGTTTTCCAGCATCACATGCATGTCGTGATGGTGGACCTGGGCTACTCTGGGATTCTGCAATACATCAGTTGATAGAGCCCAACGCTGACAAGAGAGAGCGTGCGATGGGGTTTATGACTTGTGTGACATCTTCAATTTTAGAGGCTTTGCGTTGTCAGGTTTTGGGTTTAAGCTATGGATCTGAACTGCTTGACGTGGATTGTGAGCTTGGATTTGGCGGAGCAACGCCATTTGCGCGTTGATTTGATGGTTAGTACACCACTTGTTAGCTCATTGCCTATCGGGACGGTAGTGGCAATGGCTGGGGGCGACATGCGAGATATTTGTCATCCTTGGAGTTCATGGAACGTGACGAGAGGACTTGCCAGAGTTGCAGCCCATGCAGTTGGAGAGGTTTCTCATGCGGAGGTTGCTACGAAGGAGGGTACAGAGACCTCTTCTTTGGAGGATGTGGCGTAGCAATCAGTGAGAATATCGCCTTCCTCTAGTGTGACTATGGAGGAATGGAAACAATTAATTGGTTTCCATATCATAAGAGGAGAAAGTCAACAGTTGACACAATTCCTACAAGATCATAGAAATTGTTTTGCCTTCAGTATGAAGGAGTTGGGTGCTTTGATTGAACCCGGTATACGGATAGAATTGGCTAGTGATACGTCAATCTTCCGTCGTCCTTATTGATACAGTGAGATGGAGAGGAATTTGATTCGGAGTATGACGTTGGACCTACTGGAGGCTGGACTAGTGGAGTTATCGCATGGTGAGTATGTGTCAGCCACTGTCATGCCGGTGAAGAAGGATGTACATGGCGACTACACGGATAGGCGCATGTGTGGAGACTACCGTCCTATCAATCGGCAAATGAAGTCCGCTAAGTATGTCATGCCGACACTTGAGGAGATCTTCGATGTGGTGGGACATGCGAGGATATTTAGTGTTTTGGATCTTCGAGCAGGATATCATCAGTTGCCGATTCGGAAGGAAGACAAGACCAAGACAGTGTTTTTGGGGCGTCAACTTCCACGGCAAGGATTGTTTGTATCAGTGTTGATTCTTACCCTTTGGGTTGAAGAATGCACCTGCCGAGTTCTAGAGAGTAATGGACATGATCCTAGCGGGGCTAGATTTTGTCAGATGTTACATTGATGATATCTTGATGTTTAGCGACACGGTGGAGCAACACCAGATACATTTACAGAATATGTTTGAGCGGTTGAGGGCTCATGGTTTGCGGTTACATCCTGGGAAGTGTAAGTTTTTCCAGGATAAGGTGGAGTATTTGGGTCATGTGATCTACCCATGTGGTTTGGGAGTTCAGCAAGCAAAGGTGGAGGCTATTGCACGCATTCCTTGTCCCACGGATGTGAGTAGAGTTTGTGCATTCATGGGTTTGGCGAACTACTACCGGAGCTATGTGAAGGGGTTCAGTGCTATAGCCAAGTCTTTAAACCAGTTGCTGAAGTCAGATTAGGAGTGGCAATGAGGAGATGAGTAGGAGACAACTTTTGTTGAGCTCAAGGCCAGGTTGGTGGCCGCTCCCATCTTGAGGAGACCTATCAGAGGTCGTCCATACCAGTTGCACACTTATTGGAGTATGTTAGGACTTGGAGCGGTGTTGATGCAGCGTGATGATGAAGGCAAGGAATTTGTGGTTGCGTACGTTAGTCGTTCGAACAATGCAGCGGAGTCGCGGTATAGTTTGTACGAAGGAGAGTGCTTGGCAGCGGTGTGGACTGTGGCACACTTCAGATTATACTTGTTTGGTACGCAGTTCATCCTTGTTACTGATCATCAGCCGCTCAAGTGGTTGATGGAGTCAGACAAGCTAACAGGGAAGCTTGCACGGTGGGCTCTCATCTTACAGGAGTACGACTTTCAAGTAGTGCATAGATCTGGAGTTGTGAACGTGGATGCCAATGGTTTGAGTCGGAACCCATGCACTAGCCAGGAGGATGACACTGGAGCTAGATGGCATGGTGAGGTTGACGAGGAGATGGTGCTCGGTTGGCATGCATCTGCCTTCATGTGTTGGTTACAAAGAAACTTTAGTATAAAGGATCACCTGACATCTTACTCTAGTCAGAGAGTGGATGGTCAATCTTCAGATCTTGAAGTTGAGGATGGTGGTGTGGATCAGCGTGATGTTCACGATGATGCATTGGTGTTGGAGTTCCTACGTACCAGTATGGTGCCATGCACAGTGGATGCCAAGGAGCGAGATCGTGGTCCCCAGCGGGCGAAGAGATACTGATTGGAGAGATCACATGTTCTCCGGGTGTGGGAGGACGGTAGGGTACGAGTAGTACCGCATACAGCTCAGAGAGCGCGCATTGTGAGGCATGCTCATGAAGAGTTGGGACATTTTGGAGTGAAGCGTACATACAGCTTACTCCTTGGTCAGTATTGGTGGCATGGTATGCATACTCAGGTACAACAGTTGGTATCACGTTATATGGTTTGTGAGCATCATTCAATGCTCCGACACCAGAGTTACATTCATTACCCATCATGGGGTTGGGTTACCGTGGGAGTTTGGACTTTGCTAGACCACTACCTTTGACTGTACGACATCATCGGTATGTGTTGGTGATGATGGAGCATTTCTCCAAGTGGATTGAGTTGGTGGCATTACCTGACAAGGCAAGTGAGGTAGTAGCATATGCTCTCCTTGACAAATAGAGCTACCTAGGAGTCAGAGGGACCTGACCGCCAGCTAGGGGGGCGAGTTGTGACATTTGAGTGTGCACTCTCTTGCGCCTTATATGTGTGTATGTGTGCGTATGGGTTTGTGAGTAGCATGTCAGCGATGTACAGTGTATGGCGATATGTATTTGCACGACGACTGTCATGTAGTTTCGAGTTGTGTCACTCAGTTTCTCGTACTTACTATATTTAGATTTTAAGTTAGGGTTTCGGATCGCGAGGGGTACAGTCTCGGAGACGCCTCGAAGAACGTTAGTTCTTCGAGTCGAGGTAGCACGTTGGGAGTAGTGCCCGTGAGCGTCGATCTGGAATCTCGAGTGTGGAGTGGGTTTGGTTTGACTATGTTTGTGACGGTGAAGGTTTTCTTGCCAATAGGCTAATCAGACCGACGGGTTTCCATTGAGAAAATCCCGTACTTTTCAGTTGTGACATTTGAGTGTGTACTCTCTTGCGCCTTATATGTGTGTATGTGTGCATATGGATTTATGAGTAGCATGTCAGCGATGTAGAGTGTATGGCAATATGTATTCGCACAACAACATTGTTTTATAATTAATTAGTTGATTTGTCACTAGGAGTCTTCTAAGATCGTAAGATAGCAACACATCGCACTTTATACGCAATGAAAACTTACTGCAACTAAACCTGTCACTAAACTGAAGATTATGTGTATGCTCGAGACCTTTTTGAGTCGAAGAGTGAAGAAAAATATGGGACTAATATTTATTGACTTCCAGCTTATTGCAACCAAACTGAAGATTATGTGGTAACCTCGAGACCTTTTTGAACCGAAGACATAAGAAGAACATATGGAATGATACAATGACTAAACTGAAGATTATGTAGTAAACTCAAGACCTTTTTGAACCGAAGACATAAGAAGAACATATGGAATGATACAATGACTAAACTGAAGATTATGTAGTAAACTCAAGACCTTTTTGAACCGAATACATAAGAAAAACATGTTGATACAATCGTAGTGGTGTCGTGATCATCTTCGTGCAATGTAGATATGAAGACCACAGCATTTTCTCTTTTAAGAGAGCTTCCGTTGCTCCACAAAGCTTATAAGCAGTCCTTTATCAACACCAAATGTGTTTACTGATCATACACTCTTTTCAGCAAGTCTCGACGGGTTTTAGAATATGGAAATATGCTCTGCTGAGGTCCCATGGGGTAAAAATATACGCGATGGGTGCAGTAAATAATTTGTGTTAGTAGAGTTCCATCAAGTAATTTTCTCTCCCTGGCATGGGAATCCTCCGTCAATTGTTTACCTTTTCGAGAACATTACAAGTCAAATGTTGCCTTGCACAAAATCGAACTGAATAACATTTTAAAATTCTCATGATACAGACACGCAAGAAGATTCTCATAATACAGATACGCGAGTTGACGGCAATTTTATCCCCATGCAAATAGGAAACGGGCAAAGCCACGTCAACGAGAGGAGGCTACATATGCAATCAACTGGCAATGCCAATTTTCCTTTCAATTAATCGATAAATGTAAAATACAACAGTATCAAAATTTCCACATCCCAGGAGGAGGGACGCTAACATATACCGGTAAACAATACCAAGAATGCTTCTCTACTCAAACTACGACAAAATAGTCGATTTAATTGGAAGAGTAATCTGTTCAAACAGGGGTGTCTGCCTCACTAATTCAAGTTCCATCCAAGACAGCACCAAAGAATGTAATGATGGGTGACTTTTGTTCTTAATTCTGTTAAACGGCTAGAGTGATTAGATATTCTACAGAGCCATGAAATTAATGATTAAAGGGTTACATGGACCAACATTTGGCGCTGTAAGCTACCCATATCCCCCGTTCAGCTTCAGATCCGTGAGGTTTTCTGCTTCACTTCGAAACCATGGTTTCAAAGCAATTCAGACCATCGAATTGAGGTGCGATCGAAAGTCCGAGCTTCCTCTGTCTCGGCACAACTGTCTTCGGACTCTGAGCAACTGGACCTTCCTTCTCAAGCGCAAACGCTTTCTGCATACGCATGCCAACACATGGAAATGAATGTCAGCATCGTTCGTACGAATTGCGATTGAACTGATTACAAAATAAGCCTACAATGTCTGACAAATTGAATTCAACATGCTCTCTGTAGAACGATTGCTTCACCCATCAACAACATACTGCAATCTACTATCGATTACAACAATCTCCTGAGCAAATTTAACGGACAGTCCAAATCTACGGAGAGAAATTGCAGTTCAACTTCGATAGGTAAAGTTCAGACTACCTACTCATGACCACACAAATCTACGAAGATACCAACGACCAAGTAACAATGTCTTCCTACCTTGCCGACGTACACGAGAGCAGTAGAAGCAAATCCTGTCATTGTTGCAACCGCACCGGCGTTGGCGAAAGCCTTGGCGAAGACAAACGAGGCCATGTCTCCCCTGCGTCACTTCCTGAACCCGAATTCGAGCGAAGCAAGTCCAAGATCTCCTCGACCGATCGTTGTTCCTCGCCTCAGACTTGCAAATCGAGAGCAATAGCAGTGGTATGAAATTCAGAGGAGAACGCAAATTCGTTTCCGCTAAAGAACGTCGTTGACTGATGAAAACAATTTACGATGAAGATAGACAAGATGAAGATTGACAAAATTTGTGATAGAATTGAATGTTACCGATGAACCTGACGCCTCTGGTATATATAGCCGCGGCTACGCGCAAGGGCAAAGGGAAGGCCCCATGGAAGCGGCGCAGGATATTTCGAGCGAACGCGAGACGAGACTCGAGACTTGCAGTGCGAGCGACCGCCAGCGCAGCGCGCGGGGCCAGTCTGGAGCCTTTCAAGATCAAGACTGTGGCGCACGACTTTGTCCACCACGTGGTTTCTACGTCGAAGCCTCGGCCTGCCCGACGCGTACGCGGCTGACCCAAATGCTCCCGACGCCGACCAACCCAGGCCAACTGAGTCACCGGAGGTGGCCTGACCCGGATCTCCGGACATGGTGGCCATGAGAGCAACGTTCATTCTCCCGAGTGAGCCGACATGCATGAGCCCTACCTACTATTGGTGCACTCCACTGCAGTCGGATCGGTGTGACCTCCGCGGTGGGATTCGGTTGAGAGCCAGGCCAATCAAGTCTGAACCCTTCGTTTCGGATAGCATATTAATGAACACGCCTCAGCCGTCGATCTAGGAGATTCCTGACCACGTTCGCATCGAGTGAACTCGAAGGCGGTGGAACATGCGTTCATTCTCTCGTGACTAGACGGTGCGACGGTGCGACGGTGAGATGGTGCAAGATTCAAGAACTGCTGGGAATGTCCCAGAAGTTCGTTAACTCTACGTCAGTCTCTGACACTTGGCATACGGAGGACGTCGCCGTCACCGTCACGATCGAGTACGTACCGCCCTCCGAGTCTTGGTCGGCTTCATCGCTTCGTCAGTCACGCCTCCTCTTCAACGCCAGACTTTGATGAAGTTTGGTCGCATAGCAAGACTCGACTGTAGTGCCTCATGATACTGGCGTGGTTTTCTGACATGACTCTACGTGGTTTCTTATTGTCACCAACAAAAGCTCGGAGTACATCATCTTCCCTGGCTAACAACTTGAGTGTTGTTTTCATCTAGTTCTAGTCCTGCAGATATACCTGAAATGCCTTCTTTCGAAATGCATGTTTACAAGGAATCCAGCGTAGTTGGTTCTATTTCAAACCAAAGACAGATTCCATTATAACAAGGAAATTTTTCGAATGGTACAAGCTATTATCACTAATTTATCACTGCAAATACTGGTGAATACAGGATGTGATTTTTAGATAATACAAATTTCAACATACGACTGGTTCTTTCAAACTATCGTCAAGTACTAAGAAAATCCGAGAAACTGAAAGAAAAATTAGATAGAACAATCAGAAGTAAACCGTATCCTTATACAGAGTCATTTCTCTGGTTTCAAGCTTCCGTTCTTCAAGTCTTCTGGTTTCAAGCAACTTGATAGTAGTACGTCGGATCTTCAAGTTCGAATGTACAGTACTCGAAGGTCAAGTCAAGAGGGCTGTTTCCCTCCTGACTTTGAACCTTAGCGCCGAAGGGCAGTCTGGACAAACTCAATGGCCTGCATTCGAAGGTTTCCTTGGGGTTGGTCAAGCTTTGGGTCACCGCAGCCCTCGAATTACATGCGACTCGAGCGACAGTGACCAGGTAGTCAACATGGATTATACATCAATAGACGGATGATTCCGAACGAATATCGTTGTTGCTGTTTTGGGACGAGGATGATTCTCTACTACAAGCACATTCCACAGTCTATGCGTTGCTTTCCTTGATTGGGGAAATTTTCCACTGGGCAAAACAGGAGGGGAGCTACAGTTTCCAAGTTGTGAGATTTGTGTAGTCCGTGCCCAAGACGTTGAGGATGCAAACCTCGGGAAGAAAGGGAGCGCACATGCGAGATGGGAAGATAGTGGACACTGAGCAAGCAAGTCCACGGGCCATGCGACTTGAGAGCATGAACCAGTGGGAACATGCAAGATGGAAGTGTGAATATCACACGATCCGGGTCCTCAGTACGTCTAAGACGTGGTTTTGTGGAGGAAGCTCACACCTCGACACGCACAGAAGCTAGGGTAAACGGTACACGTTTTCAATATAGGCTCATTACGAGCCTCTTCGACATTCCACGTTGGATTTTCTGCACATGTGCTATAAGAATGTGCACATGTAGGAATCCGCTTAGACTTATCATAGCCGCCCTCAAGCTTTAGATGTGCATGTTGGACGGTGTCGGAAGTTAGTACCATATGTACGGTAATCTATTTTGTAGTGACCTTAGTTCGCCTGCAGACTGGAGACCTTCGTTTCCAAGTTTACTTGATCTGACCTATCACTCAATTTCTAATAGGATTTGCCAAGCAGATGGCGCATTTGTCCCATTTACCAGAAGTGGAAAGCTAATAACAAAAAGGACGAGAAGAATCCATCAACCTTTAAAATGAAGAAACGAAGTAAGTAACATGAGGCCAATTACCATGATACCCCAAGAAAATAAATACTCAATATCCCAATTAGCTAGATGTGGAAAAGTTTACAAGCAATTGGGTGTCCACTAAAGTGAATCATCAATAACATGATTGGATTTCTGATTGAGTTCATTGGCTACCACTCTATGTAGCCTAATGTAGTCCAAACAATAATGTAAAAAGAGGTTATCATCTGGCCGCTTGATATGATATTTTTGGCAAACTTTGAAATGTCATATTTGTCATTCATAGCTCTTTATTACTGAAAGTATGAGGTAACAAAAAGTTGACATGTTTGCAAATCATTACAATAATTAACTTGCTTGGTGTCTGCACTTCAACTATTATGATGAATAATCATAGTCTCTTATGGATAACTTGGCTGATATAAGTCCTTTGCTAACTATCAGTATTTTAAAAAAATAATGAGAGTTACTCATAATGATGAATAATCATCTTCTTTGAATAGAGCCATGTGTGTTATTACACAAATGGCTCTATTAACCATCACTTCAGCCGTAGTAATTAAGTATTTCAAATCTAAACAATGCTGTTTTATATCTCATCATAGACAAATATATATATATATATATGTATATTTAAGATGATATATTATTTGTCTTGTTGCATAACTAACATCACAATTGTATGATAACATGGATAGTTACGTATATTTCTATATATTAAATTCATTATGAAAAAAAATTTTATGAAGATCCGAAAATTCTAATCACATTCTTAGACAAATTTTTTCAGGAAATAGATGGATGAAACAAGTCAATATCAGAGTATAAGTAACCAATCGAAATTAAATGATGCGAAGAAAAGAAACTCGCAAGCATACCAATTTCAAAGGGTAAATAATACTATGAGGAATTCATACGAATATCAAACCGCAAGTGAACGATGTAGCAGAACTATTGATTGAAAATAAATTAAAATATGGAAACATCTTTGATAAAGATACATTATCCTATTGATATTTGACTATAAGCTTATTGATGAACTCAAGAACATTCAAACACTACTTCAGTTGGATAACAAATGTGATATAGATGATGATCTACTTGATTCAATCGCATTTAATTTTCTATGTTCCACTATTGATTCCATCAATAAAGTCAAACTACAAAATGATCAAAAATAGCAGTATTTCTAACTTTAAAACTGAATTGAAGTAGTGCTGAAGTGAATTCCATCTAGTTGGCGCATGCTTAATCAAGGAAGTCAATTTCTTATTAATTTGCATGATTTTTTAATTTTGCTTTCATCGTATGATGATTATCGAAGAATTTGACAATATCTTTACACTTCTTAGCAAAGAGTAAGAAAATCTCAAAGGTATAGCTAGAAGTATAAATAACAACAATATTTCCTCCTTTCATTGTTTTTGTTGCACCAAAAATATACTTCATCATAAAATGCGGAGCATGCGAAGTACATAATTGAAATAATTTATCAAGAAATTCAATCTTCAATAACGTCCACATTTTTTTATTTGCCAAGGTATTATCAATGACGACGCCAACAAATATCGTGTTTGAATGTTTTTTGATTATATGACTAATGTCTTGAGCAATCCATTTAGCTTTGTGTACTTGTTTGCCAATCTTTACAGACTCCAAGAATAAAATGGCTAAACATGCTTTCATGTAATTTACTACATATGCACTCCAAATTTTAGGCCAAATGTCAATCATTAGACAAACGGATGATAACGAAGTAGATAATCTTAGAGTGCATCTTTCATTCATCTCATTGTAACATAAATGAAACAAATCATTGGCTAATTTTTTTTGATAAGGCAGTAGATCATTATCAAGTCGTGACATTTTGATTGTCTCAATCAAATTTGTATCTTCAATACTTTGGAACAATGTGTTTGTGCAATAATAATGATTAGCAATGGCTTTATGAAATTTCTTCATGCTTGAAGGGTCTACAATTGGTAACAAAAATGATCTAATGGACAATTGACTATTTGATTTTTCTACTTTTGACTTTGATATCTATAATGGAGCTACTCGTCTCTTCAAATTTGTATATTTTCCATTTTGTTTGCTAATTGTAATTATCTTTAGTTAGTTAGAACTAAAGTAGAGGTTACTCAAAATGTTTATATAGATACTTTAGCCTACACTAGTCAACGATCCGCGCTTGGTAGGTAAAGAGTATGTGTGTTAGTTGACAATGTCACGTCAGCAATCAGTGTACTTGTTATGTAAGAATTGAACGTGTTTATTGGAAGCGCCATATCATACATCCACTATGAATCGGATGGATGGTAGAAATAAGATATTATTTCCTTGTATTTGTTAATGAGTTTAGGGTTTAGGGGTTAGGATTTAGGATTTAAGATCTCACGAGGCTTCTCTCTTTCTATCTCTAGATTCTACTTTGCGGTTTAGTCAATCGACATGGATGTGTTATCCGTGATACCAAAAACTCACTCACTCTCGAAATACTCCTTGCAGCAAGACTGCTCGTTCAATCCAGATTTTATGTTCAATCTAAAATTTGAGACTCAATTTCAAATTTTAGTTCAAAACATTTACGTAATGATTTCAAAATTCAGTTTGGATTTCGAAAATCAATTCAGATTTTCAAATTTGATAGAAGATTTTGAATTTCAATTCAAATATTCAAATGTGAGATTTGATTTTAAATTTATAATTGAATTTATAGTTGAAAAATAATAAATCGTTAATTTTCATTGTATGAGTTAGAAGTAAATCATGTTTTATTTAGCAAAATCAAGCATAATCATATTATATTAGATTCATCAAGTATGTAATTTGTAAAGAATTGAAAGTAAACAAGATTAACACTGAAATCAAATTAAGTGATACATTTATCAAGATTATTACTAGAGAGATTTTAACAGACATTGTACTAATTATGTGATCTCAATATATGATTTTAGTATATTTGATTTTAGTTAGTTAACGTTTGCACAAGAAATTACGTCAAGATTATTTCCATGATTTCCCCAGAATAATCATGTTATTGTACAATATACAATCTTCAAAACATGATTGAGGGGAAGTATTGTTAATAATCAACTCAATGCCTTATTCTTGTAGTTTTTTTTACTAGCTACATCATTAAACAAAATAGTTTATTGTAATTATATGTGACACATTAGTGATTCTTGCAATTTAGACATATTGAGCTTACCATGATAGTAGCCTAATAAGATCAACCACTTATTTTTAGCTATTTGACATATATATGTTGTGTTACTTGCACCAACATTAGTATATGTTTGAGTTAAGTTTCAACAATTAAAACCGGGAATTATGATATTTCTTCGGTCAGAAGATACAGTGATTAGTTTGCTATGATGCTTATCTAGAGTTTTGGATAGTGTAAATGAAATCTAGGTTGAGAGTGAGGAAATAAACATTAGTAGTTTATATATCTTTAATGATCATATAGCGTCAATCCAAGTATGTTTTTAAGAAGTTGAAATGTTTACTTTTACAGGGCTAAATGGGTTCACTTTTAGAGCCATTATTGACATAATGAATTTTTGGATGTATTAGTTACAATCTCACTCTAGATTTGATACCAAGTGGATTATGACATTTCATCATGGTGAAAACAATCGTGTTTACTATCTTTATACTATCTGTTTCAACATTCATCAAGCGGGACAAGAATTGCAGTAGAACAAACGTTTAGATGAGTCTTTTTCTTTAATATCAGATGGAAACTTGGAGTGGTTGTGAAAATGAGGATATTTTGATGCTCATCTGCACTAATTATCATGCTTTCCTACAAGCATTGATGATAACAGTCATCTACTGCGTAGTAGATATTTGTCCACGGGATAAGTTGAAACCAAGTACAAGTTTCTGCCTTCTACGACACTCCTGTGTATATGCATCCCTCGGCGTACATCTATCCTTTGGTTCTCTGTTTTCGTGAAGAGAGCAAAAAAAAAACAGAGGCAGGAATCTCATCCTGCTAGACGCCCTCAAAGTCAGGGATTCCCGCGAAACGAGGCTTTATTGATAAGTCCCACATGGGACGGATTCTTGGAAAAAATATTCATTTGCAGTGGATGTTCTACATCGTATGACATACCCTACCTTCTTCACAATCCTTGAACTTTCTCCGAGGTAAAAAATTCCCTCCTGATTTAACCTAGAGTGAGTTGCTAAAGGGTGGTCATACTCACCTTCGATTGTCGATTCGAAGTGTGAGCAACATCGTGCCACCATCACTTAAATATTTACATAGGTGTTGAATGTATTCATTCAGCCAGATACTAAACTACAGTCTAAGTGGTAAATTACATTTCACAATAATTCTAGAAGTCTTCATCCAATTTGAAGACGTGCTGACCCTCTCCATTGTTCAGCCCAGCCATAACGGATGCCTTTTGATATTCACCTACACGTTTCTCGAAGAAGTTGGTCTTTCCCCTGCAATGCAAGCCTCGGTCAGCTCAAATTTTACAGCCTGGTATACGCGAAGAACGGATCTTCTAGACATGAAAAGACCTTTTCTTTGCGAAACCAAGGGGCCCGGTAGGGACTCATATACTTACTGTAGGGAAATAAGCTCCATCCAGTCAAAGGGGTTGGTTGCCCCGTACTTCTTGCCGTATCCCAGAGCAATCTGATAAATCATTGGAATAGATCTTAGAATCACATCGTTTACTCAATATTCGACATCAAAACTTTGCCGGAGTGGCATTTAAACTCGAGATGACTAAAATTATTACGAAGAGTTATCCTTAGGCAGCAAAGTGCGAACCACAGAAGTGAGAAATTGCTTCCACATATCAGCTAGAACTAGAAGGTTTACTAAAGAGTGAATTGAGTTTGCTCGCACCCAAGTGCTTTGATCCTTACCAGCAGATGATCAGCAACGAACTCGATGTACTCGCTCATGAGCTTTGAGTTCATTCCAACGAGATCACAGGACAGTGCTTCACACACAAATTCTCGTTCTATTTCAACGGCGTCGCAAACAATTTCCCGCACTCGTTCTTCAGAGAGTTTCTTGTTCAGCAACCTGAGTCACAAGGAGAAAATCAGTAAGAAGAGCCGGAGACAAATCACGTGTCGGCTTTCATTCCTGGTCAATGGAAATATTATGGTACCCTATTTTGCAAACGAAATCCGTCTGGATGACATACGTGTACAGGAGGCAAGCGAAGTCGCAGTGAAGTCCTTCATCTCTGGATATCAGCTCGTTCGAGAAAGTAAGACCAGGCATCAAGCCCCGTTTCTTCAGCCAAAAGATTGCGCAGAAACTGCAATTACAATGGAATTAGATAGTGAAATCAGAGATCACAACATAGCGTTTCTAAGACTGGAAAAACAATCAGAGACTTAGTACTTTCTTTACCTGCCAGAGAAGAATATGCCTTCCACGCAAGCGAACGCGACAATCCTCTCCGCAAACGACTCACCACTGAGAATGCAGGTAAGGTTTGTCAGTTGAGGCGTTCTAAACTAATCTTTGGCACAGCAAACTCGATAGACAGGATCTGTAGTAATGGGTAAATGTGAAGAGATTGATAATGTGCACTTGGGCTATTGGATCCCTAAGCTGCTTGCATCAATGAGTGTCGTCATCCTCGAACAGAAGAATAAGACGTATTTTGGCAAGGCACCAGGAAGTCCTCAGAGGCTACCACTCGATGACAGTCAGACCCTACCATCCGTGACATAATATTGACTGCAGTTCTTACACCAGGGTTAATGACATTCGAGTGGCTTCGTACCTGTCAATCCACCGCAGAGCCCACTCGGCTTTCTTGGCGACGCAGGGGATGTTTTCAATTGCATTGAATAGCCTTGCTTTCTCCCTTTGATCCTTGATGTATGTCTCAAGAAGTAAACTATACATCTCTGTGGAAAACAATGTGCTCTTAGAATTCTACGTGTTTGATTGGCGGGCAGAAAGTTGAATCCTGACCATTTGACTTTGATAGACACAAACCAGAGAATTCCAGGTTGATTGCATAGAGGGACGTCCTTGCACTCACCGGAGTGTATATTCTCGATTGCTATTTGAAACCCATAAAAGGCTCGAGCCTCAGGTATCTGAATTTCTTTCATAAAGCGAATGGCTAGGTTCTCTAGAACAATGCCATCCGAGGCAGCAAAGAAAGCCAAAACGTGGCTAATAAAGTGCCTCTCATTGTCACTGAGAACCTCCCATTGCTTGGAGTCCTCCGAGAGATCGACTTCCTCCGCTGCAAAATGTACGAGAGGCAAATTCCTGTTCAGTATACACGGAAAGATCCGGCGTAGGTTTCCATGAATTATTCCGCTCATGTTCCCTTTATCGATCATCCCGAATTTGCAGACTATCAGACATCTAGATCAGCGCAGATGACAGTACCTGTCCAGAAACTGGCCTCTGCCTTCTTGTACATCTCCCACACGGCCTGATACTTAATTGGAAACATACAGAAGCGCTGAGGATTCTCGGCGAGGATGGGCTCGACCATGTCGACGATGGAAGGCATGATGACTCTGAGAACACAATGGCAAGCACAGCAGGGGGAGCCTGGGTCAACACAAGTTGGTCCCTCGTCTGCGTTTGAGACGAGGCAGAAATTTCACACCCACTACCATAAAATACACTGTTATATCTAGAAAAGATCGTCAGAGTAAGGCACGAGAGACGGTCACAAACCTGACGGTTAGGCAGGAGGAGCGACTAGCTTGGGCGACGAAGGCTCGCTGCAGTGGAAGTGGGATGGGATAGAGTGCTGTGACAGCGGAGATGGAGGGCATTAAACCCTAAACCCCGATCACTGCGGTGAAGAGTCCAAGACTGTGGCGCGCAATTTCAAACTTTCCCTCCCATCATTCATTTGAGTTGCCAATGGGAGGAGGTTTCTACTGAGAGCTCTGCCGCTCCGACAACCTCTTTCTCGCGCGTCTTAATCAGATTTCTAAGAGTTTGTGCGTCTTGTTCGCTTTACCAACCAAAGTCGCTTCCTTTTACTCGCACCTTCAGGTACCCATAGTCATTTCCCAAGTAACTCGGTTCGCACATCCCCTTTATTTGTACACTATCGTTAGCCGACAGTCTGAACAGTCCATGTGCATCTAAACTAAAGACTTGTCGACGTTTCCTAACAATTCCGTGGAGTTATCTATCTCGTACTTTCAATCATATGGCTTTGCCCGATTGCGTCTAATTCTTGTGATTTTACGATCATTCTTTGATTTTGACATCTACATCACAATCGTTTGCATCTGCGGAGAAACTTTGGAATTTTCTATCGATGTTGAGAATTATGTTTGTATCTACTACATAAGAACTAAATTGTCACTTTATATTTGTATTCATGGAAACATCATTCTTTTTCCTCTTCTTCCCTCCAGCATCTCGTCCCAATCCGATGTTATGTAGACATATTAACCATGAAATTGCAATCCACGAATCTTTTCCTCATGTCCGTTACCGCTGTGCTGTCTTTGCTACCAAGAAATCCTCAAGAAATGTCAAATAGCCATTGCTTTAGCTTTTCTCGTTTAGGCTGAAGAGCAGGATAGCGGGGGAATAAGAATGAAGATGTTTTTAGTACTACATATGTAAAGTAATAGAATTTGTTTTGGACATAGAAGATTCACTTCTACTTCTCGACATTGGTGTATGCTTAGAGATGAAAGTCTCAAACCTGAGCGTCAAAATACACACTAATGGTTTGTGAAAACCTAAATGACAAGGCAAGTGATTGCAGGGATTTATTTTTGTTTTCATAAACGTAGATTTCAACATGATTACGCATACTACAAACATTTATACTGAAACAGTATGTATCCTTTTTTTATTTTGCTATGCATTTTAGTTTAGACCACATACTTCTAAAAATCATAGTAATAATTTGTAGAGACAAAAGGTCAGTTGTTTTAGTTGATTGGATATGAGATATTTTTTCTTCATATATATGATAATCTAAAACCAACTATTAATTTTAATACATCTGAACAACCATATGCAGTATGATATGTTTAACGGTTCAGATCTCGTTTCATATGTTTTGTTCATCATATGACTTGATTCGATGAAATCATTTCATAGTTTTGGTATATCCATGCGGCTGCAAGACAGCACATTTTTACGCAGTTACGAACTCTGGCGACTGGCGGACACTCGAGCAACGAATGCCGCAGAGATCGCGATTCGCGGGCTTACTATTATACAAGTGGTCAAACGAGGAACACGATGACGTGAAGGTTTCGCGGGATCGGAGGGGGTGGGAAGGCGGGAAGGGAGGAGAAAGAAAGCGATGTGAAGCAGAGGATTGGATAATAAAAAAAAAGGGCAGTCAAGGCGTGGCGCGAAGTCCACCTCCAATCGAATTGCAGAGCGTCCCGCCCAATCCAGAAGCTGTGCTCCAAGCTCAACAAGAGCACCTGTTTCTTTGCTGTCTCTGCGTGCGCTGTACGCTCCACGCACGCACGCACCGCGAAGACGGACGCGGACTTCGTGTGTGTGACCAGTTACCCGCCCTGCTTGTTTCAAACGTTCGGGCAAGAAGTTGGGCAGCCATAAGCTTCCTCGACAAGCTTCGTGTGGATGTGGATTGCCCTCCTTCAATTTCGAATTTAGTTTTAATTATTACACACTAGTTTGGGTACCCTTTGTTCAATGTGGCAAACTTGCAATGCTTTTTCTACATAACATACTAAACCACTCTTCTTTTTCATTTGAAAATGTTCGTTCTATTCTCAACATATTTTCGGATGGCTCGGCAAAGGATGGTAGACGCATTGAGTATTACCGCAACAAATTGGAGGAGGTCACGTGACCGGGAGCGTCGTACAGACGGACACTACTCTGTTATAGATATAGATTCACTTACTGAATTCAGCTTACAATGAATGGTTACCTTCATGTAATAGAAAAATCGGTAGAAACAAAAGTGCCGCCCGGATGTGCCACAATGTAAGTTGTAATCAGATATTGACAAGGAGTTTCTTCATCTGAAGAGGAAAATAAATGTATTCTTACTTGAGCTTCCTATTTCAAGATAAAAATCTGTTAATATTCCATATTTTGTCTTGCATAAATCTAGACAATAAACTTGAATAAACCTCCAGCCACGTTTTTTTAGCCAAACCTTGATTTGACTAAGAAAATACATTTATTTGGCCAGAAAACTTGACTTAATCACATCATTAGACATTCTTGCAATATTTTGACAAATAGAATCACGATTATGCTAATGACAATATCAAAAACTCATTTTAAACCACTAGAAAACACGCTTAAACCCACATGAATCACACAAACTAAATGACGTATGTTAGACTTATACGATGCTCAAATATGAGTACATTGAATTTAACTCATGTTGAAACACATACTTGATTCATCATTTTTATATATTATTCGATAAAAAAATACTTACTACATTTAATGCAATAGTTCTTTTACAAGTTCTTGATTGTTCACTATTTGCGATATAATTTATAAAAAAGTGAATTTTATATAATGAAATAATATATAAGTATCATATATAGCTTGAATTATTTGAGACGTTATAATTTTAACCCAATTATTATTATTTTAAATTAGCTGAACTTCAATAAGTTAAGACTATTAGTATTACACTAGAAGAGAAGACTAATCAATTCTTTTATTAACATACATTCAAATTTTCACTACTAAAGTATTATGTATTTGTATAGATATTTCCTTATATATGTTTTTAATTGTGTTGCATTTGCATCAATTGGTATCAAAGCAAAGTAGCTAATGTTGAACAAGCATCCAAAAAGCAAGCGATTCATGACTACATTATTATTTGGAAAATTTCATTTTTTCTTCTCTTGATAAAACACAACAAAAAAATTTAGAATTAATGTATGTTGTTGTTTGTGACAATTGTAATCTTCATCAAATAAGAACAATGTAGTTAAAATTGATACGGAGATTGTTTGATTTGTTCAATGTGCATATGCAATAGAAAGTTGATGAATAGATGGACTCTTTAGATTTGTAACAATATAGAAAAAATGCAATGTATTGATTATGTTAGAATAAAACAAACACATTTTTTTTTCCAACTCTATATTTAACATCAACAAACAGATAATTTTATTGAAAAAAACAAGATTTATGAAATTTAATTTCTCATAATTCTACAATTTTTCATGAGATTTTGTGACATTCATTTGTACATTTTGTGACATAAATATGTTCATGTATAGCTAATTAGCATCGTGAGTCAATCTAGCTTTACAATCTTATATAACTTTAGCATGTTAATTTTATTCTTGTTGATTTCAACAAAGTTACAATTTTGATAAATTTAAAGACAAATATTGTTCAATAATGATTAATATATAAGATTATATGTTATAGTGATGTTGTCACTATGAATGATGTAAAAATATATATTATGTTTTATCTATTGGTGATGCAAAATCCAAAATCAATAAATTGCATACAATTGCAAACAATGTAATATATTTAACAAGTTAATTGCAAACATTACAATTTGCAATAATCAAACATACAAAAATAATTTAAATTACTATTGCGTTCAAAATTGTTTTAAATATCATATAAAGTTAGGAATGAACATGTTTGCGATTACACTTGTTATGAGGTTCAAGATTCATGCATTAAGCTTTAAGATTGGATTATTTAACACACTTTTTTAAAAAAAACAAATCATCATTTCAATCTTTGTATGGTAAACACTTAATCGGCTTTGTAAATACTTTTGTGAAAAAAACATTATTTGAAAGTCCAATAGGTTACATATTTACATTATGACGAGTATCATGCGGTGAAAATTGACAAAGATAAAAAAGTATATAGAAGCAAGAACATACCTTCATACACACAAGAATAAGTGGTTAGTTATTGTTGGTTACGTCCATGTGAACTACAAGATTTTATCAAAATGAAAAAGTATTAAAGTAGATCTTTGGGTTTTTTTACTTTGTAATCAAAAGTGGTAACATTAGTTATTCAAAAAAAGTCCAAATTAGTGTCAACTATGATGCATATAGTCAAAAAGCCATACAAACTTGAATTAATACTAACAATCTTTCCCATCATATGATGTCATGAGGATAATAATCTTCATAACTCGTATAATTATTCTATCATAAATTATAGAAAAAAATTAACTCACAATAATTAGAACTAATTCATAACCAAAACATGATAGAGTAACGATATACAAGTATAATAAAAACCTGCTAATAATTTCCACTTGTGCTGCTCATGAAAAATTTGAAAAGTAACACAATGTACTTAAATTTTTTCTAAATGAATGATTTGATCACGACATCAACTATTTAAATGTATTGTCTAATTTGACAAGTTTAATCCTTCTATCAAAAAATCTAAATCACATTGACATTCTGACTTAAGTGATACTTGATTCAAATGTGTTTTACATTGTTTTTCATCATTTGATTTGCAGCAATAAGTAACTATATTTTTCTATCACAATGAAGACTAACAATCTTATGTTTACTTTACTTCAAGCACGTATGCAATTCTATTGATTGGACCTAGTCTTGAAGAGAAGCCTTGAATATACTAGGCAAACATCAAAATCTATTGTGATAGATCAAAATCTATTGTAATCTATTCTTGTTTGTCTAAATTGTGATAAACGCACTGCGTTATCTTACTGATCGATCATTTTGAATCCGGTTACGATTGCTACAAAGTGAAGTAATGAGATATTTGTGATAATCTTATTATAGTAGACAAGGTAGTGAATGATCTTCGGCATAAATTACATCGATTGATTTCATGATAATGGTATCATCTTGTTGTGATTCATGAAGTTTGGATTTGAAAACTCTGAGGTTGTCCAACTTGTGCAAGTGGCGCACCGTCAACTAGATTGTACTTGAAAATCAACCTCTTTGACGTTTAGGCTTTTGAAAAATAGTGTGAATGCGT